TGAGCCAAACCAGCTAGGGCTTCATTGGAAATAAGCACTTTTTTCATTATTCATCAAGGAGAAAATGATTTACTCACATTCATGATTAATAATGATGAGATTTAAGAGTCAGAACAAAGTTCAAATTCAAATGTCTAAATTCTCCTTTTAGTTTTTTTTAAAAAAAAAATGAATTTCATTAAATTTTATCATGTGAATGTGTTTACATATAAGACTAAGTGAGCATCTGCTTTTTAAAATTTAAACTAGAAAACACCCATTAATGTATACACACACACACACACACACCTATATGTATAATTACATATTAACTCACTGAATATGCAAAACAAGTATCAAGTTTAATAAAATGATTATTCTGAAGTGACTGGCTAAAACAAATAGCAATGTTTGCTAAATACACTCTGTCTTTTTGAGGCAAATTATTCAAACCAGCAATGAGTGTTAGAACATTTAGAATAAAATGCAATAAAGCTCAACAGAAAAATAAATTTGAGCTAAAACAAAGCAATTCTTTTGTGAACATTCTCAAAGTAAAATCACTAAAATGTTAAGAACATCACAAATACAACGATTATAACAAAATGTATTATATAAACCAAAAGAAAGCACAGTCATGAAAAGCTGATTTCAAGAATCTCCATTTTAAGAATAATCATTAGTTTATTTTTTCTATTTTATAGAAATATACAGAAGTGTAGTTATTTGTGGCTGCCAATCTTACTTCAAATTGGTTAGGGGATTAATTGGTTAACACATCTGACAATAACTTCTCCAGCAAGCCAGTTAGATCTAACATATTCATTTTGGTGAAAAATCACTTTAATACAAATGGAAATGATTAAAGCTGACTTCATCTTTTTTGTTATTCTAGATGCCAATATAACAGTAAACTCTGAAACCTGTTGAAATGACTTCATTCACATCCACATGTAAAAACTAAAACAAAATATGCAGATACTGTTTATGTTTCTGCTCTGTCAATTAAAAGTTTTTTACTAAAATGAAAATAATTTTTAAATTGCTTTTCAGTACCTTTCATATGGTCCGGGGTGTTCAATCTGAATTAACTGATTGTGTCCATCAGGAAAAGTTAACTTACACCAACCTAAGTTGAGACCTTGATTTATCTTAAGAAACATGGAGGAAAGTTAAGTTTTATCATTCCAAAACTAAAAAAACAACAACACAAAACCACTCCCAAAACCCAAACAAAACCCTCTTCTAACTTAACAATTTAAAAAATACTAGTCCCTCTCTCTGTAGTGAGTTACTTAATAAAAATAAATATTTGCCACACCTATTTCACTTTTTCTAGGAAATCTAATGAGATCAATAAGCCTCTTGAAAGATGTCATACTTCAAAAAACAAATTGACCTGGCTGGGTGGCTCAGTAGGTTGATCGTCATCCTTGCCCCAAAGGGTTGTCGATTTGATTCCCGGTCAGGGCACATATAAAAGGCAACATATAAATTTATAACCAAATTAGTATAGATACATAGATTGATGTTTCTCTCTCTCTCTCTCTCTCTGTCCTTAGGTGAGGATTAAAAAAAAGAAATTGAGATAGAACGACAACAAAAAGAGTGCCACAGTATTTCCATAGATAAAACAAAAAACAATACAAAATAGATTTTAGCCTGAAGTATACTCACCTGTCTTTTTTCATTAAAAGAGCCAAAATTCCAATTTAGGGTTAGAGTAACGCCATCTATAAAGATGACATGTACTTTGTCATCAGAATAAGCAAGAAATCTTCCCACACTGGGTATGAACAATTCTCTCAAAAGCAAAGGCAGCATATTCTCTTTTATCCCAGGTACCTAAAACCAAGTAAGTAAAAACAGCAGGAAGTAGAGTTATCCATTCATAAGATTTAAATGATTAATGAACTCTGAGGAAACTTTCAGTTCTTATGCAGAAGTCGAATATTGTAGAATCCTTATGTATGTTTAACTTTTCCACAAGTGGATGCCCAAAACAGTCGATTACAAGCAGATTAAACCCCCATTTCTCTGAACTTTACAAAGAACACTGACAAGACTTAGGAACTACAGCAACATATAAATTTATAACCAAATTAGTACAGATACAGAAATCAAAGTCTGAGAATAACTTCCTCCAAGTCAGCATTAAAGAATGTACTTTTACAGTATGGAAAGAGAGAAGACTGCAGTGTTTACAATAACTATGTTTTTATATACAAATTCAACTAATTCCTATGGCCTTCCCATTCCATTTAAAAGAAGTAGCCCTGACCAGTTTGGCTCAGTGGATAGAGCGTTGGCCTGCAGACTGAAGGGTCCCAGGTTCGATTTCGGTCAAGGGCCTGTACCTTGGTTGCGGGCACATCCCCAGTGGGGAGTGTGCAGGAGGCAGCTGATCGATGTTTCTCTCTCATCGATGTTTCTAACTCTCTATCCCTCTCCCTTCCTCTCTGTAAAAAATCAATAAAATATATTTTTTTAAAAAGAAGCTAAACCAAACTATATACAATAAAATATAAATAAAAGCCTCATTTTGCAGCATTTATCTATTAAGTGGATATTTTTCTGAATAAATTAATGTTACAAAGAATTTCTTACATGACTTAGATGAAAGTAATTTGAATTTAGGAATATAGACAAAATTATCTTGCTTTTGAAAGAATTTTAAGATACCATTTTCCAGCAGCATATACGATAGTTATGGCTTAAAGAAAGCCTCATCTTGGCACAGTGCTGAAGAATCCTGTGAACGTGAAATACACAACTTAAACATTTGCAAATTATTATGGCATTTTCCAATTCTAGCAACCATTCTAACTGCTGTACGACATCTCAGCCAAGAAGTTCATTTCCACTGAAATATGTCCAGACCTATTTCCTTCCAGAAAATAGTAAGCCCTTACAAGGGAACTACTACTGTTTCCCTTTGGCTAATCTTACCCACTTAAGGTTATTTCTCTAATTTGTGGCAATGAAATGACTCCAAATAGAATTTTCAGGTGCTCCTTTTTATGAGGTGATCGATTCACAGTGTCTAAAAGGTTAGCAGAGTCTAAGTGATGGGTTGTAAATAAACTGTCCTAGAAATCATATTACCGATCTGCTCCTTCAAATCTACTTTGGAACTGGCTTAGACATAGTTTATACAAATAAATCATTGACTCCAACAATTCACTTTCATTTTTCTGAGTGCTACAGATTAATTAGCTAGAATTAAAAAAACATATGAACCAAAGAACCAAACAACACTTCTCTTCTGTACGCGTTCAGAAACCTTTATTACTCTAAAGATAATAAAGAAGTATGAAAATTTTAAACGTATCATCAAATCCTCAACTTGATTCCAGGGAGCAATAATGATGCAAAATTTACCCAGAGAAGTCACCTATTTTCAGCACTTGCTTGCCAACATAGAAATGTTTCTCCATATTTCATTTTACGTTTCAAAGATGGAAGTATTCTTTTAATTACAAAGTCTTAATCTTATCCTAACCATCAGAAAAGGTATCAAGGTTCTCAGACATAACACTTGATTCAGTTGAATGTGAAGGACTTACCTGGTGGCCTGTTTAATTAGAGAACACACAGAGAACAGACTTCCTGGTCTCTCTGGAGGAAGATTATTTACTGAATACATTTTCTCTTCCTTCTGAAAATTAGTTTAAAGTGAAAAATCTCATTAATAATAAACATTGGCCATTATTACTCAGCTATTTTGTATTTACATATTTACATAGCGACAAAGGAAGCAGTTATTTTAACTTAAAGGCCGTAATAGGTATAATCTAAAGGTATTTCATGATGCTTTTCCATTTTCCCATTTTTCCTCTCTATTCAACAGTTACATTCTTACAGCCTATAACTGACTGTCCAATTTAAATCTTGGTATACTTGAACTAACATGGTTATAAGCTCAGCTGGTGTGGCTCAGTGCTTGAGTGTCAACCTATGAACCAGGAGATCATGGTTCAATTCCCAGTCAGGGCACATGCCCGGGTTGCAGGCTTAATCCCCAGTAGGGGGTCTGCGAGCAATGATTCTCATCACTGATGTTTCTATCTTTCCTTCTTCCTTCCTCTCTGAAATCAATAAAAATATATTTTAAAAAATTAACATGGTTACAAATGAATTTTCCTACTTATTAGCAGGAAACATCACATAAGCTTTTCCCTTTAGACCAAAAAAACCCAAAACCTAAGCATCAAAAAATTATTTTACTTGAATGAATCTATCATTTTGTTATATTTTACTAATGGAATAACTATTACTACAGTTTATGGAAGATAATATTATTTATTGTCTTGGTTTCTTGAATTTTAAAAACTTATCCTTTCTGAATTTCCTCTTTCTCAGACTCTGTAATGCCAGTGTTTGCCAGGACTCTGTCTCCAGCCTTCTCCTCTGACTTCCTGATTTCTTCTTGGGTTATTTCCACAAGGTTCAAAGCTCCTTCATAATAATTATAATAGCAATGGCTAATATTTATTGAATAGATCTGTGCTAGGTGCCTATTTTTAGATGAGGAAAATGAGGCTTGAGGGCTAAAAAGTAGCAGAGATCTGTTTTGAACCACAAGAGAGAATAGCCCATACTTTACCATCAGAATTTAGTGTATAGCAGGTACTCAAAAGTAATCTTTATCCTTTTATCCTGGACTGTGTACTTGAATATCACAGACATCTCAATTTTAACAAGTCAGAAATGGAATTATCTTCATTTCAAAATTTGCATTTTCTTCTCTACTTTGTATTTACCTCTGGTATGTCAATTATCACATGCTGTTCCCTCTACTCGGTTCCCTCCTCCATGAACTCCTTGTGTCTGACTAACTCCTACTTTCCCTTCAGTCTCAGGAAAGCCATGTGGAGGTCCCACAGACAGGGTGAAATCCCCTAGTTATGTCCATAAGCACAGTGCCCTCTCTCCTGTTTCTCAGTTTTCATTTAGTTTTTATTTCATGTCTGTCTTCCCTTCCAGAATAGAGATAGCTTCATGAAAGTAGGGATTGTATTTGTCTTGCTTACTTTAGTATCCCCAGCATTTATTAGTAGAGTGCTTAGCACATGGCAGGCACTCAAAACATCACATTTTAATTATTTATGTCTTTCTCTACTGGACACTGAGTTCCCTAAGTGTTCTTCTCTTTCAGCTATCCTACCTATTGCATCAGTTCTAAAATACTTATTTTTACAATTTAATCTCTCTGAAATTTGGAATCATCTTATAATTAAGAGTGTCTTATAATCACTACTAGAGGTCCGGTGCACGAACTCGTGCACTGGTGGTCCCTCAGCCTGACCTGCGGGGATCGGGCCGAAACTGGCTCTCCGGCATCCCCCGAGGGGCCTGATTACAAGAGGGCACAGGCCAGGCCAAGGGACCCCACTGTTGCACCAGGCCTCTAGTCTATATATATAAAAGCCTAAACAACCATTACGACCGGTCGACCGAATGACCGGTTGCTATAACGACACACTGACCACCAGGGGGTAGACACTCGACACAGGAGCTGCTCCCTGGTGGTCAGTGTGCTCCTACAGCCAACCTCCTGTGGCCGGCCAACCTCCCGCAGTCCCTCCCCCCAGCCAGCCTGCCTTGATCAGCCCCAATTGCTGGCCAGGCCGAGGAACCTCCCCTGTGCATGAATTTGTGCACTGGGCCTCTAGTCTATCTATATATATAAAAGCCTAAGCAACCATTATGACCGGTCAACCGAATGACCGGTTGCTATAACGACACACTGACCACCAGGGGGTAGACACTCGACACAGGAGCTGCTCCCTGGTGGTCAGTGTGCTCCTACAGCCAACCTCCTGCGGCCGGCCAACCTCCCGCGGTCCCTCCCCCCAGCCAGCCTGCCTTGATCAGCACCAATTGCTGGCCAGGCCGAGGAACCTCCCCTGTGCATGAATTTGTGCACTGGGCCTCTAGTCTATCTATATATATAAAAGCCTAAGCAACCATTACGACCGGTCAACCGAATGACCAGTTGCTATGGTGACGCACTGACCACCAGGGGGCAGACGCTCGACGCAGGAGCTGCCCCCTGGTGGTCAGTGCACTCCCACAGCCAACATTCTGTGGTCCCTCCCCGCAGCTGGCCAACTTCCCATGGTCCTTTCTCTCCTGCCGGCCGGCTCCCTGATAGGCCCCAATCTGGACACACCCCCTCCCAATTTTCTATTTCTGTTCTAACTACTGAACAACAGCACTTTCATTTCTTTCAATATTCCACATTCGCCCCAGGCCCTAGTATCTCTGATAATCTTATCACTTACATGCCCTACTCTGTAATAAAGAAAGACAACGCTTTTATTGTATTTCATCCTGCAAAGCAAAGCCACGCGATACTATGGTGATGCCTTTGAATGGGTGATGTCAAATGTCAGACTGAGCAAATTAAGAGTTATTAACAAAATATCCACATTATTACATTTTGATATGATATGTTAAATGTTATGTTTCACTATTTTCAACACCAGAAACAATCTTGTTCAACTTTTTAGTTGAATATAAAGATTTAGGAGTTAGGAGGTATTTAAAATATGCAAACAATAAATACATGCTAGAGAAAAAAGAATGTGCTTTTTAATTGACAAATATTAATTCAAAGAAGTATATTGATTCAAAGTAATGCTGCTGGTTTTAGTATTTCCTATTGACACATTCTATGACAGAAGAAATGTAACTTCTGATTTAAACATAATTGCTTAGGTGAATGGAAGACAGAATACAGGATGATAATACAGTAAAAATAAGGTGGTTAATAGTTATTGTGCCAATACTGGCAGTAAGGTTATACTGATTGTTCAGACTAAGTAATAGCAAGCAATGTTATACAGAGATCAAATTTTCCAAATATATTCACAATTATTTAGAAACAGCTATAGACCAAAAATCTTGAGTGGAGATCTCATTGTCTGCCTACCTCTTCTGATCCTTCTTGAATGGAATAGTATGTAAAATATTTCCCCAAATAAGCTCCTTCTGATTTGAAAACAGATCCATCTCCAGGATAAATCTCTATTGAGTTCACATTTTTATGGGTAAGTCTATGGAAAAAAAATACAAGAACAGAAAGAAAAAAAGGCAAAGAAGTATAATTTTTTAACCTATCTAGCAAATGGATAATTTCATACTCTGTTCCTCCAGCCAGCTAAATTATTATTATTTTTTTTGGCAAAAAAATGAATAGAACACCCAGAATTGGTGGATCTATCTACTTCAGTAACTAAGCTCAGCTTCTAGAAGTGAGGCATCTTCCCTTATTACCCTGGTATCCCCCCAGCCAATCACAGTGGCTGGTCTATAATGGTCACCAAAGCAGTGCTCATTGCATAGGAGTTAAATATAACAACTCTACAACCTGAAAATAAGATTATTCTTTAATAATAAAACTAGCAGAATTAATACCTGATGAGATTAGCCATGTGTAGAAGGAGCTATCCCTACTCATTGTACCTGAGTAGCCACGTACAATCAAGGTATTGGGAATATAAGGAATAAAGATATAAGCCAAGTCAATTTTATTGAAACATGTATGGAAAATACTAGTATGTTGTCAGTAACAAGTGGGTCCTCGTGCAGGAAAAGGAGAGCCCAAGAACAAACAGTTCCCAGTACTCGTCAGCACTGTGTACAGAGTGAACCTCTCATCTGGCCAGCACCAGTATTCCAGTCCCTAGAGAGGTAGGGTTATTCAATGGAATAGTGCAGCACAGAGCAGCTGCTTGGTGAATATCTGCTGAGTGAATGCAGGCTGACATCTCCCTTAGGAATCTAATGTCTCGATTCCATGCTCACCAGGCACCTTCTGATGTGACTAATTCAGACAACTAGATCCCCCATGCTTGGAAGGCGTGGCTTAAATAGCTGCCATGCGTATCTCATTCACTAGCAAAACTAATCCTTCGCTGGCTTTGGAGCTGTCACAAAAATCTTGCGAATATGATTAATGTGAATTAGTAACAAGAACCCTGTGTGTCCAAATATAATTAGGGTGTTGAGACCTGAAACCTCACGGCCAAGCACAGGAGCATGGTGGCGCTGCAAAACTATATTCTCTTGTACTTTATCTGCAAGGCTAGTCCCATCCCCTGTGACATCACTACACAGCTCCAACTCCAACACAGGTGCCTTACCTGTACGTAATACCCTTGTGCCAGACCACTTTCACTAGTTCAGAGTAGGAATATTCTTCTTCATCAGACTGCCCCTGTGAAAGTGAATCACAGAAAGTCCACCTGTGAAGGATAAAATACAAGTTATGGATTCTGGTTGCTCAACAAAATTACCTTGAGAAGTCAACAAAATAGTGTGACTGTAGTAAGATTTATTCCTTGCTTAATTAATTAGATCAAAAAAGTAAAAATATGAAAGTACATTACACTTTTTAAAAAATATATATTTTATTGATTTTTTTACAGAGAGGAAGGGAGAGGCATAGAGGGTTAGAAACATCGATGAGAGAGAAACATCGATCAGCTGCCTCCTGCACGACCCCCACTGGGGATGTGCCAGCAACCAAGGTACATGCCCTTGACTGGAATCGAACCCGGGACCCTTCAGTCCTCAGGCCGGCGCTCTATCCACTGAGCCACACCAGTCATGGCATTACATTTTAAAATGAGTCTTATTTTCCATGCATTTTCAATAATCTCACTATTGAATCTCAGCAGAATTACCTAAATTAACAATTTTAGTAATCTTTAAAATTTAGGATTTGAACAACAAATATTTACTAATGTTCCTATGGTGGCCAGGCACTGTAAATACACTGGGGATATAACACCCAAAAAAAGCAAACATGGTCACTGTGATGTTAGACAGTAAACGTTGACATAAAGAAAGGGGAATTGCTGAACACTATAAGATTGTGTAAGAACCTCATCCTGTCTAGGGACTTGGGGATCACCGTCCTCAGGAAGGAAGGCTGACTCGGAGACCTGGACATGAACATGAGTTAGCAGGAGTGCTCCTGGCAGAAGACAGAGCAGGCGCGGTGGCAAATGATAGCTTGGGCAAACTTTCCAGGGCCTGCAAGAGTAGAGTGGTGAGCGAGTGGAGGACTGCAGACATGGGAAGGGACCAGAAAATGCAAGGCCTATTAAGCAATGTTTAAGGATAATGTATTTCAATCTAAAGCCAGTGGCAAGTTATTGAAAAACTGTTGATTTAGAAGCATCAATCTCTTTTGATGCATACTTATAATACTGGATTTTCCTATCTTAAACAGATAATCATGACACGCCTGAAAACCATTCCCATATTTTATTTGAGTAACAGATATGTACTTAGAGACTACCTGGGATCAGACCCTAATTCTCCAAGTACAAGTGTGAGACTTTGCTCAGGTTATTTAACATCTCTGTGGCCCAAGCTCCTCCACAAAATGGGATGATAAGAGACAGTACTTACCTCATGGGTTACTATGGGGATGAAACAGCATGCCTAGCACATACTGAGTGCTTGGCGTTAGCTATTATTGTTATTATTGCACTACTTATGCAAAGTTCCTGTTACAAATCTATCATCGTTAGGTTATTCATCTGTTAGTGGAGGTCAAAGGTTTTTACCTCGCCATCCATGCCTACCCCTTTGACAATGGACAGATTTACGTCAACCAAAGATAGAGACGGCCTCGGAGGCCAAGTGTGAAAGAAAGAACCCATGATCATAAACTTGTCAGATCTACACTCCAGCAACCATGGTAACAGGCTCCACTGAGTGGCAGCAGATGCTGCCCAGGGGTCTGTACAGGTGCCTGGGCCATCCCTTACCACACTTGAATAATCATCTTTTCAGCAACAGTGACCCTCACTAGACTCTAAGCTCCTAGAAAGCAGGGACTGTGTCTCAGTCATCTCTGTAGTCTCTGTGCTTAACGATGTATCTAGTACAGTCAGCCTCCCATAAACATTCATTCCATGGACACAGAGTTAAGAAACAAGCAGCACATTTGCTAGGCAAATTATTTACTATCAGTTTTAAACAAGGTTTGGATGAACCGAATGAACTTTCCTTATGACTGGTATCAGATGACTTAGAAAGACACATTACCTATAGGAGGACTGGTTCTGACAAGAAGGTCGTTCTTCCATTACCTGTGCAGGTGTGGGACAGGACAGCTGAGCAGCAGGGCCTTGGGAAGAACAGAAACCTCTTTTCCTCTTTCCTCTGCAGCAGCAGCAGACGTTAACACTGTACTCTGGGGGATAGTCACATCAGTTCCAGACATATTGCTGATTTTATTATGAAAGCGAAGTGCTAAAGACAGAGGGTATTTCCATTCCTCTGGACAGGAGGCCACAGAGCAGCGCTGCTCTACCCACGCGTGGACACAGCTGTGCTTGGGACCAGGCAAAGGCAGTGCCTCCTCCCCCTCAGTTCTGTTCCCACAAGGCTTCTTCTCTGAAGGTCCTTTGGGTTTCACGATCTGACAGTGAAGTTCGTTTTCTTTATTCTTCCGTCTCTGTCCTGGTAAACTTCCATATGCACGGGGTTTGTCCGCTTTTCCTACTTGTTCTTTTGGGGCCTGATTATTTTTTTCTGACAATACTACAGATGAGCCTGGCTTCTGGCTCACTTTACACAAAAAATGTACTGTAAATTCCTGCTGAGATTTGGGCAGACAGAGGTATGCATGACCATCTACAGATGGTACCTTCACGGCGCCGCTCTGCATGCATATCATGCCACCATCAGTATCAAGACTGGGCCATCTCACTTCTGGGATGTCAATGAGGATACGCTGAGTTGAGGGGAGGGAAAAGAGATGGTCAGTATTTTCTGTTAACAGACCAAATTTTCCATACATCTGGTACCTACATATTGTGTAAGAATGCTCTTAAAGTTTTCTGTTTTACTACCTAGACAGAATGAAAAAGACAGAGCCAGGTGTCAGCCTAATATATGGCTTTTCAGAGAATATTTGATATTGTTAAGATTATCTCTTTAGAGAGATAAAACACACACACACACACACACACACTGAAAAAAAATGAGAAAAAAAATCATCCTGATTATATCTAGTGTTAGACATATTTTTTTAATGTACAATGAATCAGAGATAATTAGATTTTGAGTCCCTCCCAAAATTCTACTCTCAAAAAGGCTATCAATGTCTATAGCACTATAATGCACTGTATTAACTCAAATGGTATGAAACTAGCATAAAAATCATTGACAGAACCACCCAGAGAATACAGAAACAGACTCAATATATCTTAAAATGTTGCATGTGACAACATAAGGTTTCAAAACAAGGGGGAGGGGAGAGTTATTTAATAAATGGTACTGAATGATTGAACAGCACTAGGGATATGTTCTCTCAAAGGGTTATGACCTGGACTAAAGTACCTGTCCTAGATACACCAGACCCTAAAATAAATATCAGGTGACTTAAAGAGTAACTTGTTAAAGTATATATATTTTTTATTGATTTCAGAAAGAAAGGGAGAGAGAGAAACATAAATGATGAAAGCGAATCATTGATTGACTGCCTCCTGCACGCCCCATACTGGGGATCGACCCCACAACCCAGGCATGTGCCCTGATAGGGAATCAAACCATGACCTCCTGGTTCATAGGTTGACGCTCACCCACTGAGCCACGTGGGCTGGGCAAGAGTAACTTTTTAAAAAACTGAATTACTCAAAGGTAAATGGCTGATCAATAGCAAACAGACTTGTAACAGTAACCGTGCCTGATGCATCTTTTCATATAAGGTAGAAACAACAGGTATCACGAAAGTCTTGTAATTAGTTAATCTTGCCAACAGCTATCCATTTCAACTTCCATTTATATAAAACTTGAAATTTACAAAAACCATTGTTGGAAAGCCTCTTAAATTTATAGTGCTATGTCAGTACACTAAAGTTAAGGGCATTATTCATTAATGGTCAAGCTGGTCTATAAGGATGATGGTTCAAAAAGTTCCATCTTCTAGAACTAGACTGTCTGATAATCCAACAAGATACCCATTTTTAATGAATAGTCACCCCAATAGATACAGTGGGAAAACAGCCTTGTAGACCAAGTTCCAGCTTACAATTTTTCAAGGCTTCTTTGTCATGAGACAATGTAATAGAAAACCACTCCACAGGCAGGCAAGCATCATGACAGTAGCAGAAAGTGGTTAACAGACACACAGACTGGGTTCAAATCCTGACTTTGCCACTAAGAAACTTTCTATGGACAAGTTAGTTCCTGTCAAAAGGAGCGCATCCAGCCAGTATGCCTTTTCTGACTGGTCGGACTCCCATTTTGATCACCAGGGACTCAAGGCATGCTGGTGCTAGCAGATATTTTTAATATCACTCCCCGTTCGTGGCACACAGTAAACCCTCAATAAATGATAGTGATTATTATTCCTAAAAGTTCAAAATAGAGTGAAAGCAAGAAGAATAAAATTTGCATACCCATAAGTAATTGCATATCTCTATTATACATTAACAGATAAATATACCTAAGCTACTAAAAATATCCACATAATCTCTTAATTTTCACACCTCCAAGAATCAAAAAGTCACCAACCTGAAAAGCTCTACATAGAATCTTTGGCTACAAAGAAAAGGACAGGGTAATGAATTATGTAACTTCTGTGTCTCAATCAATATATACAAAACATGAGAACTCTAGTGTGGTGAATGCTAAAGTGACTATGCATTCATTCTACAGCAACATGTTTATTCCCAAGTGTCATGAAGAAAAAGGCCAATTATTAAACTACCTATTTCTAATTGCTTGCCCTCAAATCTTACTCACAAAAATTATTTTTTTAAAAAAATTACCTTTTTTCTTTCAGGAGGTATAATGCTTTCAGATAAAAAAGGGCAAGTGGCGAAAGCGTTTCGAAAATCTAGGGCTCTCTGTAGTTGCTCCTACAAAAAGATACGAATGTAATCTTAGAAAAATGACTGAAAATCCATTTAGTATGAAGCAATCCTGCATGCTAATTACTTCCATATTCCGCCCACCCCAACAACACTGAACGAGCAACGTTTTGCGTCCTCTTTACTTACTCGGTAAGTGCTAATAGCAAAGTGTGTCCTCTGACGAATTCTTTCCGGTTGTTCTAAAGGATGTGCTGAAACAGGAGGTGCCTTTTCAAATAAAAATTCAGAGCCACAGGGAGAAAGCTGCAGTCTGGAGCCATCAGCGTATTGTACTTGCACAGAATCGTCTTCATAAAGCACCATTCGCACTTCAGCCGCCATCACGATGACGGTGGGTAACGTCCTTTCAAGGCAAAGACTGACGGAAATAGGGAACAGCAGCACCGATAGTTCTCTTAACGTACAAAAGTTCTACCCAAAGAAGCTGGTGCGTTTTCTAAGGACATAAGTAAAACATACTGCCATTGCATTTACTTTTGTTGGAGGAAAATGTATCTTACTGGACACACTTACATGATTTGAAATTAACATTCCTGACAGAGTGCCTGGAGGAACCCCTAAGGCTTTACTCCAGGGTGGAAACATAACAGAGAGGCAGAAGACAGTCCACCAAGTTATAACAGCCTGTATAATTTTAGTGGCTTTACTTCTCCTGAGGTTCAATGTCAGAAAATTATATCTTTAGTATCTCATTTCAAATAACAAGCAAATTCCACCTTTGCAATAAGAATACAGCAAGTCACTTGTAATACGTGGAAAGGGCAGACCAAAAGTAACGATTAGGTCTAAAAGAAAAGCATACATACCTGGATTCTTGTCCCTAGCCCGGCATTAAAGAAGTATCTTCAGCCCTAGCCAGTTTGGCTCAGTGGATAGAGCGTGGGCCTGCGGATTGAAGGGTCCCAGGTTCGATTCTGGTCAAGGGCACATGCCCGGGTTATGGGCTCGATCCCCAGTAGGGGGTGTGCAGGAGGCAGCTGATCAATGATTCTCTCTCATCATTGATATTTCTCTCTCTCTCTCCTTCTTCCTCTCTGAAATCAATAAAAATATATATTTTTAAAAAAGAAGTATCTTCATGTCACTACTGAAAACGCTAATTAACCTCCTAGGTCTTAGTTTCATCCTCATCTCACTCATTTCAATTTCCTCTTCTCCACTTCTAAAGTGACTGTGTCTTCAGCTATGCTTTCCATATAGGTATGATGGAAATGGAATTAGAGGATGGGTTCCATTCATACCCACCATTTACTAGCTATAAGCTAGGTCCTTTGTTTCCTTATCTGTAAAATGCGAATAGTGACAGGATTGCTGTGAGGATCAAATGAGACAACACATATGACACTACCTAGTATTATGAATTTAACTTTGTAGAATCTCAATAATAGTTGCTCCCAACCATCTCCCAGTCACTTTTTAAAAAATATATATTTTATTGGTTTTTTTTACAGAGAGGAAGGGAGAGGGATAGAGAGTCAGAAACATTGATGAGAGAGAAACATCGATCAGCTGCCTCCTGCACACTCCCCACTGGGTATGTGCCTGCAACCAAGGTACATGGCCCTGACCGGAATCGAACCTGGGACCCTTGAGTCCGCAGGCCGACACTCTATCCACTGAGCCAAACCGGTTAGGGCTCCCAGTCACTTTTTATCCATGTCATCTTCTTTCTTCATGGCATCTAACTGCTGTCAGAACTGATTTTATTTATTTATTCTTTTTTTTTTTGGTCTTTTCCCACTAGGATATAAACTTACATCAGAACAGAGACTTTGTTTTATTCACAGTTGTACCCCTGGCATATATTTGGCAAATAATAAGGGTGGAACAAAGATTTACTTAATGATGAAAGAATAAGTAAATTTTAGAAATCTTGCTTTTCTTGAATGTGCAGTTTGAGTTAATGGTATCTCAATGTTAGCAATATTTGATATCTCACTCTCTTTTCCTCTACACTCTTGTAACAAGTCCTGTTGATTTCATCTCTCATGAACCTGGCTCCTCCTTTTCTGCTTCAGGCCATCAACTCTCCCCTCAATTCCTGTAACTATCTGGGACCTTTTTTCCAGCCTTTTCCCCCTCCAATCCATTTCCAGTATTGCTGTCATAGGTAACTTTCACAACCCAGCCCATACCAACCACTTTACATCGCTTGTCTACATACTTGTTAAATGGCAATAAATATTCATAGCCATATATAGGGTGTCCCCCCAACATGTACACAAACACTTTGAATGATTATAAAGGCAGTGCTTATTAAAATACATTTCAGTTTCAAAAGTGAGCCATCAGCTGTTAAGGTGTGTATACATTTTTTGGGGGGACTCCCTATATATATGATGTCTACTTGCTATTTCAGGAAACAAAAAACCAAATAAACAGATGCTTATAAAAAAGGAAGAAAACATTTTCTGGTAACAACTGGAAAATGTCTCTATTTTTGGCCTATTTATTTATTTTTTATAAACAGCTTAATCAGGTGTGATTTTTTAAAAAAATTAAAAGCATACACAAGAGACAGTAGAATGTATAAAGTTTCTGGCACATCATAAATCCGCCCCAGTCCACATTTCCAGCCACAACTGTCTTACTGTTTGTTTTCAACACTCAGCACATTATGTCTGTTTAACGATCAAAAAGCCCTGTCTGTTCTTGACATCAGCGGGAACCTGACTTTTCCAAAATGCCGTATCTAGTTGCAATAACAAACTCACCAAAGCAACCAACGTTTGAACTCACAGCAGTTCTGAGCTGAAAAGTCGTGGTAACGAGGCCCATCAACCGCCCTTGCACTTTGATTTGCCAAGTGGCTCGAACCGCAGCGTCTGCGGCTGCCCACGACGGCTTCTCGAGGAATTGTTCTTAATTTTAACAAGTGAAGCTGCTCGATGGAAAACAATCACAACCGCAGGGCCATGAGGACCCGGGTCTGAGTAGCTGAGCAGGGGGAGCGCCAGCGAAGACCCCGGAGGAAAACACAGGCAAACAACAGCGATTCAAACCTTCCCGCCCCCGGGGGACGAGCCAGGCCGGAAGTCCCGCCCCTGCCGCGCTCCGAGAAGGGAGAAACCGGAAGTAGGGGAGGCGTTTATGGGGAGAGGGTCCCGACCCAGAATCTGGTCCTCTCCTCTTCCGGGTTTACTTCCGGTGCCCCACACAGACCCGGTCCGACCGGCTGTGGTGAAACCCGTGGCTCGAGCGTCGTGAGGGTCCGGCGAGCTCCCCGCGCGGGGGTGTTGGCGCAGTGACGCTTATTTAAGTCCTTGAACGACAGTTACACCTCAGTGCAGCTGTTGAGGAAGAACCTGGCCAAAGGCGGAGGCCTTTCCTTCTAAGTTGGTGTCAGGGAATTTGTCTCAGCTGTGTCTCTGCGCCTTTATCTAACAGCGAGTAGACCGGACTGCCCATTTATGTCACTACACGGGTGGTAGGGTCCCCAGCGACGGGCTGGTGCGAGGCGCGCGGGGGGAAGGCGGGACGGAGCCAGGCCGAGGATGGCAACTAGAGTAACGGCAGGAGGCGACCAGACAATAACTTGATCAAGTGGTGGTAAGTGTTCCTGAAATAAAACGCGGAGGTCTGACCGCAGATAATGGGTAGACCCAGCCTGGGCGGAGGAAATACTCCCGCTGACATACGAAGGATACAAAGGATATTGAAAGGCGAACATGGAACTGGACCGCCCTGGATTCCCGGTTCTTGTCTGGATGGTTTCGAAGCAGGAAGCCACGGGCGAAAGGTGGTCGGTGAAAAGCACAGACGTTTTGTTGCAGGCAGACACTGCCTCCACAACCTGATTCTAAGTTCGGAGCCGGAGACTCCGTCCCCGCTGCACGGACAGAGGCCCCTGGGAAGGGTGACCGCTGCTCTCTGTCTTTGGCATTAAATAGGTGCAGCTCTTCGTCTGAACCCGACCCCTTCTTACTGGTCATGGTGCTACAGTTAGTTCGGAGCTCAGAGCCCACGTGGCGCCCACCCCCCCTTCTCCCCCCTTCCCCTGTTGGCTGGAGTCCCTTTGATGCATCTCTCAGCTCTCCCAGTTGTGTTGGAGAGAAGGCCTTCTCTCATGGCCCGCCCAGCGACTCAGGTCAGGGCTACTTTGGGCCTAACTTATGGTCACTTTATTGGCTCAGGCCCGCGATGCCTTTTGGTTTAGGATATATTTCTATTTGCCTATTCCATTTCTCTACTCTCTGTACAAGATACACACCCTGGCGTCTTCAAGTCTCCATTATGTATTCATTCCCCCATAGACCCCTTCTTATTCCTAAAACTTTCTAAACCTGCCTAGTTAAACTAGTGAGCTAACCCGTTCAGTACTAGCCAGGTGGAGAACAGTGTCCAAGCTGAGGTAACAGCCTGTGTTAAGGCTCTGAGGCCAGAACACCAGTTTGGTTTAAGGATTAGAGAGAAAGAGAGGCCTTCAGGGCAGAGAAGCCTGAAATGCAGCTAGGAGGTAGGCAGGGGCAAGATCAGTAGGAATTTATGGATGATGGACTTTATGATAAAAGCAACAGTAAACTATTCTAAGGGCTTTGAGCAAAGTTGGCAGGACCAGGGGATGAGAAATCTAACTCCTTAAATTCATCTCCATTTTTAAAAGACTGATATGCAAACTGACCTCTGCCTTATGTAAAGTATACCAAGGGCATCCTTAGACAATCCTGTTTTCATTGATCTGTGACTTCGGTTTGTATTACACGGGGCTAATAGGTCCTATCCCTCTCCCACCTTTTCCCTCTCCGATATCTTAGAAACTCCCATATATGAATTGCTTACAACGGAGGGGTTTGTGATGCCATTTGTACTTTAGAAATATTCCTGGAACTGCTGAGTGAAGAATGGATTGTAGGACGCAAGAGCATATGTGGGAACCCAATAGAACGCTTTTGAAAAACAAACGAGAGATGAAAATTCAGACTGGGCAGTGAGAATGGAGATCACAGCTCCAAGAAATGTTTAGATAAACTATATAATCTTGGTAATGATTGAATGTGAGTGTTTGAGGGGGAGAGTAGGAGTTAAAAACAGGTATTTATGTATTTGTGCTTTTTTCCCCTGTGAAGCAAGTCATCAGTTAGGGGCGGATCGAGTGGAGAGGGTTGAAAAGAGGAGTGAACAGTAAGATAATGGCAGTGCTGATAGCCCATGACTCTGAGTTTACAGGGGTACAAACCTACCAGAAATATGACCTCCAGCTGTCTGCCTCATCACAGTGTAGGGTTCATCCAGGTTTGGCGTCTTGCCAGGCTGATGCGAATGGCAGTAGTGTACATGACCTTAAATTATTTACATCTGCTAAAGTCAGCCAAAGACCCCTAGGCTCAAGCCTGCAGTTTGACAAAATCATATTGACTGACTTGCAAGCAAGGGCTCACTCTAAAGGAGCCATGATTAACACTCCACCTCTGGGTGAGGTCTGGGTTCCTGCTGCAGGATGCTGAGCAGCTCTGAGGGAGACCAGTTGTGGGCTGGATGCGGTTTCTGCAGCAGGACTAAGAGGAGGCTGGATATTCTCATGAGCGAGGGCAGTTTAGCAACTGCAGTCCTCAGTAATAGGTGGGTGAGGGTAGCTAATAAGTCTGGAGGTGTCATGGTCAACGTAACAGAGGTCACACAAAGAAAGAAGGGGTCATGACATTTCATCGTTGTTGCATGACCTTGGGAGAGACAGCATTTCTGCTAACTGTGTCTGCCCTCCCAGCCTGGTTAACAGCAGGGCTTTTCTTTTTTTCTTCAGTTTGAGCCAAATTTCAGTCCTTCCATCCTGGACTTCTCACTTTCATACCAAGCCAAGCATCCTCCTCTCTTGCTAAATGTGACTCTTTTTAAGGAACAAATTACAATTTAACCTATACCTATCTGTCCCCCAATAAGATTTAATAAAATATCCAATCATAGAATTGTCCCCGCTTTCTGATAACACCTAGAGTAAACCTCGTTTCTTAGATCCTCTCCCAAATTATCCAACCAAAGCCCAAACCCTATAATAGGTTATTTCTAACTCCTCTTAGTGACACAACCCACAATTTGCCATGGTGTATATTCTGCCTTACTAGCCCAGCAAGTGCAGGAACAGCTGTGGTCCTGGTAGTCTTCGGCTGAAGGGCACTGCAAGCACAGACAGAGGGTCTGAGTTGTTGACATGACCGCCAGGTTCAGACCAATATTTGTACTTTATTGCCAGAAGACTGTGGCATCCACTGGAGACTTGCACAGATAATCCTGACAAAAGACTTACCCATATTTCTGTAGACACGGCCTAAAGGCCAACAACTGTAGCACAGGACCAAAGTTTCCTTTATGTACTGTTGCAGTGTTAAAACATGGCCACACCTTCCTTGATGGCCTCCTATTTGCTATGGGCTTAGCAACATCTCCAGTCATCAGCCATGTGAGTGAAGAACACCCCAGGGGATTACATCCCTGAGTCCTTAGTTTTCCCAGCTGAAGCCTCAAACATTGTAGAATAGATAAAAGCCATCCCTATTGTGCCCTGTCCAAATTCCTGAGCCACAGGACCCATGAGCGTACTAAAATGCTTACTGTATGAAAACACTAAGTTTGGGTGGTTTTTTAAGCAGCACCAGTAACTGGAACATATACTGACTCTGTTGGAGGCTGTTATTAGTAGAGCAGGGGTAATTACGATGAGCTAGTGGACAAAACTGGATGTTATTCACAGAGCAAATGCTATAAGTTTAAAGCATTCAGTTAGCATATACTTGGCCCCTGGTCTAATGTCCTGCCCCTTCCCCACACCACCTTCCACTGCCCCTGAGCTATACAGTGAGCACAATCTTTAGAGAACTGCAGATTAAGGTAATAGCCACCTTGTTACAGGAGCCATTTGGAAAAAAAAAAGAGTTCTATCACAATTTCCAAAACCCCCAATTGCATATACTGGGTGGGGCAAAAATAGGTGCACAGTTGTATGTGAAACAGAGTTCATTCTTGTATTATTTATTAATTATTGTATTGTTTTCCATAGGAATAACTGTACACCTACTTTTGCCCCACCCTGCGTATTTCCCTTTTCCAATGAAGAATCTAAAAGTTTCAATGTTTTACATTTGCTAGTTTTTCCAACTAGACTTGTTAGTGAACTGAATTCTTACTAAAAAGACATTGAATAGAGTATCTTCTATCCTAGTAGTTTCTCTGATTTCAAATCATAATTTTATGTCATATAAAAAAGTTCACAACAGATTCTTTACAATACCAGGATACCACTCCAAAAACTTAGAGGAAACAAAACTATTTCAATTTTATTTTCAAAGACTAATTTTAATCCAGACTGAACAAACAAGCAGAAAAGTGGGAAAGCTAACTGTAGTAGCAGACACAGGTGTACCAAATGTGAAACAGTGGGTTATTAACAGAACTATTTACATGCATATTTACAAGCAATCCTTTTGTACATAAGCTTTACTTGTCGTTAGTTGGAAAAAGATTTTTGACATTTGGTAAAAATAGGACTGAGGTGGTACCACATTATAGTAAAAGTATTAGAAAAGTGATCCTCAAGGTGTATCAATTACAAAGCAGATGAAAACTTGAGTGACAAAGATCTAGCAAAATTCTCTAGTAAAAAAGTCAATGCAACGCATGCTACCAAATAAAAATGAGAAAGCCATATAAAGAAAGTAGAATAATGTCCTGGGCTGTGGGGTAATGAAATCAGGTGAAAAATTTGAACAATTTAGAATTGCAATGTATCCTCAGTGAAGACTCTTGGTTGTTTAGTTGGAAGTTCTAACTCTATTTTAAAAGCCCTTGGTATCAAATAACATTTGGATATGTAAATAAATTAATTATATATTCTAAGACTTTAGTGCCAGAGATTTTTATGATTGTGACTCATACTTGAAACCCAATTCATTGAGACACTCAATGTAAAACTAAATGAAAGCTATATACTCATCTCTTAAAAAAGGATGCTACATTTTTGCAGTAATATGTATTTCCACACTAAGACATTTTCCTTCGAGAAAAGCTGAATTTAAAGGATAAGCTTCTAATCAGCTAGCAAAACTTACTTTCAACATTTCATTTATTTCAAAATCGATTTTATTGCAGCCAAAACAGTAGAATTAACTGTACATAATAAACTATCTTATATATATACACATTTTAAGTTATAGGGGATAAAGTTTATTTTGGCAGAGTGTTAAACAAAATTAAAGTTGCATACATTAGTAACATAACTCAACATCCTTAATTTGGTATAAGTGTGACACATTTTCCTGCTTTCCTGTGTTCTGCTAAGTCACCATAACCTAAACTGCTTTATAAAACTGATACATTGAAATTTAACTTTACTGTTTTTGCTTACGCTCTGATTCCAAACAAAACTTTTCATAAGCTTCTTCTATCTCTGGGTCCATCTCATCATCAATATCATCCAAGTATCTGTGAAAGAAGCAAAGATAACTCATAAGCTTAATGTTTTTCCATGCAGAAAATGTGTAAGCCTGACTGGTATGGCTCAGTGGTTGAGCGCTGACCTACGAACCGGAGGTCATGGTTCGATTCCCTGTCAGGACACATGCCCAGGTTGCGGGCTCAATCCCCAGAGCAGGGGCCATGCAGGAGACAGCGATCAATGATTCTCTCTTATCATTGATGTTTCTCTCTCTCTGTCCCTCTCCCTTCCTCTCTCTGAAATCAAAAAGGAAAAAAAAAAAGGAAATGTCTAAGATGCTAAGTCATGAGGAAAGGTATCTGGTGTAACTTTCCTAGACTGAGTTATAGAATGCAAGCACTGTTTAGAATTACATTAAATGTCAGCCTTCAGAAAACAAAAGCTTAGTATGGTGTGTTAAGTTTTACAGTGGATTCAGAGTCCCTTGTCTTTGAAGTTAAGATTCTGCTATACTTTAGACATATGTTAAATTCTTTAACCTAATCTAAAAGTTAAATCAAAGGCTTTACCTTTTAGCTTAGCAACAATTATACTATAACTAGGGGTCCAGTGCATAAAATTTGTGCATGGGGGGGGGGGTGCCCTCAGCCCAGCCTGCCCCCTCTCACATACTGGGAGCCCTCAGGGGATGTCCTAGTGATGGCTTAGGCCCACTCCCTGCTCCCCTTGGGGATAGGACCTAAGCCACAGTCTGGCCTCCCTTTGTGGGAGGTGACCGGGCTGATCAGGGGAAGGCACCAGCCCCATCACCCTGCTGCTGCAGCCACTGCCAGTCACTGCAGCCAGCAAGGTGTTTTCATCAACACGGACTCCAGTCCCTTCACCATGGAAAAAATGACAACTTTCTTTAGGCATTTTCAAGATGTGTCTTTCATATAATAATAATTTCTTTATTATTTTTTTTTATCCTCACCTGAGGATACGTTTCCATTGATTTTTAGAGAATGTGGAAGAGAAAGGGAAAGACAGAGAGAAACATCAAAGTGAGAGGAACACTTTGATTGGTTGCCTCCTGCATGAGCCCTG